TAAAACCGTGATGTTGACGCGCGCTCTTAATGTTAATGTTGATGCTATTACGTTGCACAGACAGAAATGGTTAAATGAAATGACTGTCAATATAATCGTCTGAATAGAATTTCTGCCTACTTTATGAAAACTTTTCAAACCATAGCAGACAGATATTGCTTACGCTGAATACCGCATTTTAATTAAAACTCATTGAAATATCGGGGAGTATGTTGTTTGTTAGACAAAGCGGTTGCATGCAAATGCATTGCGAAATGTGTATAAAATAATGAATCAATTATGTATATCATACATTAAATGCGTTAATGAAGTAACGAAAACATTTAAGTCTAAGAGAGAAAAATATTGAAATGTTTGAAAATTTCTCAACGAATGCGTTCTACCTTTCAACACTTTGGGGTAAAAAGGCTGTCTAAGATAAGGTATCTGGCTGTGAGATTGTGGTGCTCATCGTCAAGATATTCGCTAGAAAAAGACAGTGGAGATTAACTTATCTCTCGGCGATGTCTGCCGCGTAGCCCAGTACAGAAGAGTTACGATTACCGAGTCAATGTATACTAAATCTCAGTGCAGCTTAACCATATTTGATCTTAATGAGTGCTCTAGTGAGTGTTCTAGTGAATGCTCCATCGGCAAAAGCATAACACTTGCCGCTTAGGAAGACAACCACTAGGCAATAGCCGTTCCCCTCACTGTCAGTTCTGCCTCTTTCCTTTTCTAACGTGCTATACATACATACGTACACGTACAGTTAATATGTAAATGATTGATAGGTTATATTAATAAAAGAAAAAAGAAAATTCGAATCTGTCAACCGACGCCGAAGTTATTTTTTGCATTATTCGCATTTCCTCGAAAATGCGCACTTTTTTCCCTTTAACCATTCAATGTTTGGGGGTTTGCGATCTCCACGGACATTTCGACGGACAATATGTCGATGAGTGTAATATTAAATCTTTTCAAACATTCGCCTTTCCTATACATTTTTTTTTTTTTTTTTTTTTTTTCGTAGAAAATTGAACTAAATATTGAAATAGTTTTTATGTTGTTTAAAGAAGCCTTAAAAAACGTATTTTTAAAATTATTTACGCCCCAAAAAAAAAAGGGACCGTTTACCGGCATACTTACAAAGAGAAAAGTCAAGTGCTGACAGAGATGAATAAAATTGACAATATTTTTGCAAAGTGTTAATTTTCGTCAAAAAAAAAAAAAAAACGGAAAAATATTATGAAATATTTATGAGTGCAGTGCATATGTAAAAAAAAAAAAAAACGGCAAGTGCGTAAAAGCAAGCACACAATGCCAGAGGTATATTGAAAATTAAAATATGCTCAAGTGAGAGGTAGAAAAAAATCTCTTTTTAAATATTAAATAACATATGTTGTGTACAATTTTTATTAATATCAGCAAATTTCCCTAAAATATTATGTAAGTAAGCAGCAAAGCTATGAAATAAATACGCTTGACATAAATTTCAAGAGTATTTTTATTTATATGTAAAATTTTGCTACTTCTCAAGACAAAAGGGATAGTGCATTCCATTTTACATAAACACACATCGAATCGGCGTAAAATTCCAAGTTAACGCAGCTATGTTCGTCCGCTGTCGTACTGTAGCATTAATGCTACCTATGTTATTATTCATTATTTTATTTTAATTTAGTTTTATGTTTTGCACATTCATTGCAATGCAAAGCCAAGGTCAATATTATCTACTTTCCGATCTGTAACCTACTAGTTAATAAGTTCATCTTATTCTACTCCTTTTATTGGTTATCACAACATAAAACTTTACCTAGTCTAATATAAATAAAGTTTTAACTTCACTCTGTTGTAATCTTCGGTTGAACCTAGTTTAATCAATAACCTAGTTTAACTAACAACCTATTTAATCGATAAACTAGTTCAACTATTAACCTATTTAATCGATAAACTAGTTCAACTAATAACCTAATTAATCAATAACCTAGTTCAACTAAGAACCTATTTAATCAATAACCTAGTTCAACTAAGAACCTATTTAATCAATAACCTATTTCAACTAATAACCTATTTAATCAATAACCTAGTTCAGAACAGCGAACGTTCATTTATGTTAGGCTATGTAATAAGCAATTCTGACAATTAACAATTAATAATCACATTTAGCTAACTTAGCTAAAGACTATAAACTGTAAACAACCAAAGCTGCTGTCGAAAATCAAATTACAAAATATAGCTTTGCTAACTAATAATGGATAGATAGTAAGTGATAGAAGACTCTTATTACGTCTCACAGGATTATTAGCGGGGGGAAGGAGGAGTGAGGCAAATATATACCAACGAAAACAGGAACCTCATTCCGTTGCACATATTTTTCGATTACAATTTACGCTAGGATATACAGTGACCCATCATGGGAGCTAATTGGAATGCAGAGCTGGGATGAGGGAGGAACTGGAAATTTGTATAAAATTTTTTTAATTTACCTGAGACTCGAACAAAACAACGACATCTACTCCGTCTAAAATCCAATTGAAAGGCTTTCTTTCATGACTACTTACGTTTATTTCATTAAAGTTTACTCTTGATTCTTGAATCGGTCAATTATCCGCGAATAACAAACCGGATAATCGTACGAATTAACTCGAATCCGTAGTGAGATTACATTTGCACAGGTAAGTCATAAATGCAGATTTCGACTTATTCGCAACAATTTTGTCATTAATTGTCTTAATAAATCTCGTTTGGCATAATGAAATTTACTTCTATATATTATCATCCGGTTACTGGTGTAAATAACTATAATTTTTGTTTTCATGCTCACGGATCACCGCTTGACGTTGATCTAATTTATAGGTTCCAAAGTTTCATTATCGTAATCTCTTTAATTTCATATTAAGAAAATTATTCATACAATCATAAGGTAACGAAGTCCGTAACCTGTTGTCTGCTTACATATTTAAATAGTTATTATATTTAATGCCTTTTCAATGCACGTATGGCGAATGCAATACATGAGTAGGTGAGTATAATTTTAATTATATACGCAGGGAAAAATAAATAATGAATATAAGGTTACGAATTTTTCATTTAAAGTACACGCTTACGCTGATCTTGTATACACCTATACATGTATATAAATCCCTTAAATACATTATTAAAATCTCGTATAAAAAATATAATATAATATAATGTTTAACGTAAGTTTATGTTTACGGGAAGATAGTAAATCTGAAAAGCGCCAACAGTGTATGGAATATTTTGTCAACAGTCAGTATTACAATATAATAAGTCAGTAATATGCATAAGTGAATATATATGTTATGCCATATGCTATTTCTCGCTAACATTTTTATTGCTAGCAATCGTAGTACCACATGGTCATCCTTTTATTCCCAATATTATCATAAAGTTGAGCACTTTTCACGATTTTAACATTTTCGTTGAGGTGAAAATTTCATCTTAGCCTCCTTTTTGCTCCAGGTATGAACGTTACTGGCTTGCAAATCGGAAAAGAATGATTCACGAAAAAACATTTGAGTCGACGTACTTTGGGGATTGTCGCAAATTGTTCCATAAAAAGACCTTGAAGTATTAGAGAAACGTTGGAATCGGCGTTGATAAATAAAATGGAAAATCCATTTAAACATGTATTCAAATTTTACTTTCTAGCTTCATTATCATCTGAATTCAAGTGAAATAAATCCCTTAGCGAAATCATCTCAAATCAAAGCTCAAAAACTTTTTTTGGTTGGATGTTAAGTTAAGATAGACTAAAGGCAATATAAAGGAATCGCTTTTTGGCTTATTTGAGTCTAAATTTGTTATTGTTGTAAATTGAATTTCAAATCGCAATAGTAAAAGTCAGCAAATAAGCAAATTGGTATCCCATTACGTATGCCAATCTGAAGTCAGTATGTAATACACATGCAAAGTGATAAACACTTGATAAATCTAAAAGACCCTCAACCGTGAAAATATAAAATAGTAATATAAATATAAATTGAGAGTAAAATAAGCAACCAACTGTCAATAATGTTGAAAAGCAAAAGGATTTTTTCAAAAGAAAAAATGTTTCTGAATATTAAATACAGTCAGTCAGTCGTACGTACAGAGAATGTTAGGTAAACATAATTTGCTGCTTTTTCTACTTGATAAATAGAGAAAGTTATCTAGATTATGAGGTGACTTAAAACAGTGTTAATGGCACAGTTTTCTTTAGCGCGCAAACACAGACACATATATATTCTAAACGAATTCTCATAAATGCACAAATGTTATGAAAATTTTTCAAAATAAGCAAAAAAAAAAAAAAAACGCCTAACAATTTGACAAAAGTGAAATATACATATATGATGGTTAGCGTTTCTAGACTTACTTAGAGGGTTACCAACGCAACATAAATATTTCGCTTGAAAATTTAGATAACATTTTGTAATAAACAGAAATGTTTATATGCCTTCGAAAAGGGATTTTCTTATCGCAATGCCACAGGCGTAACCAAGTCAACCTGTTCCATGATCGTCAAGACCAGAGGAAAGTTACGCATTACCTAATAAAGCTAATGCAAGATGAATTTTCAATATCACGATCTAATCTCTACGCTTGTAAAGATAGGTTGAAGTTCGTTGCTTCTGAATTCTTACAAGACTTCCCTCTCTTCATAATCAAAGACTTTTCTCTACCTCTGGATGGTCTCTTTGCTAATTAACTGCTGCTGTCTTAGGTTAACGTAAATCACACGTATATTCATAATGGTAAAACTTTACAACGTCTGAATTAGGAAGAAAGATGAAGTGTGTGGGAGCAACTTTTCTTTCCTTTACCTTTCTTTTCCCCCTATCCCTATACTCTAAACATTGCATTCTTATAATAATATATATACACTAAAGACTTATCGATATATTATCGGCTCTAAGAAAAGGAGAAAACAAATTCATTCATTTATTTCTTAAAACATTGGATTTTATTTTTTTAAAAAATAGCCTAAATATTTTTATATCACTTAATATTGGATCTCATGAAAAGCTAAGAGGTCTTATTTCGCTTAAAAGCATTTTCAGATAACAAATCATTTGTTTGTCTCGGCAACGTCGCTCCAGCGCGTAACTTTCGACCGACATAATCGCATTATGCAAGTCACAGTAAAACTGTGATAAAATGAAAGAAAGAAAGAAAGGAAAGAAAGCAAATAAAAGTTACAAAGCAAGCAAACAAACAAACAAACAAACAAACAATTCAAAGCAAAATTAATGTTTACGTTAATGTTACGCCACGTAGGCGTAAACGCCAATTTAACTTCATCGCTCTGCGCACAAATTTCGGTAACCTCAACAAATCGTGTCTCTTCGGGTGTAATATGAACTTGTAACGTTGCTGACGGATTCTCTTGGTATTTAACAAAATGCAAAATGATATCTCGTCGTTTAGCCCATCTATTCCATATGCTAGATGAGAATTTCATTAGACAACTGTGCAATGCCATGCAACAGTAAGTATGCATTTCCGTAGCTAAATGCTTTTGAGAATAACAGCCTTGTTCAATATAAAAGCTGGCATCATTCTCGGGGAATATATTAATGTTTTTCTCTTTGAAAATTTTTTTCAATTCAGAAATATTTTTAAGCGGCTTCTCCATTATCAAGTACTTTTTAAGTTTTCTTGTGAACGGACCGGGCTCGACAACGCGACCTAGTATGCCTTGATTAGTGATATGGAATACACATTTAACATGCTGCGTTACCAGCGTAAAGATTACTTCACTCAAGGGACTTTAAGGGGAGAAAAAAAAAACAAAAAAAAAAAAGAAAATGCAAAAAATGCCAAAAATTAAATCTCGCAAAATTCATACGACATTGTTGAAACTTACTCCGTACTATTAGGTTCTAATTCCCAACATGTAAATGGAAAGTGTACGTAAGTTTTACACGCAAATCCGATATAACCTATTAAAGAGATAAGAAAATATTCAAATTTCTTACAACATAACGTATTATTCTCGTCTTTTTTTTTTTTTCTCGTTGCATCTATCGGATATCATACCCACCCAATCTATCCGTTTCGATGGTGTACTTATTTTCCTCTTTATTGAATTTACATCTTTTAATATACTTTGTGGTCCAATGTGAAATTGTTTTAGTTTTCAATTCACCTCTTCTCTCCATACTCTCGAATGATTCGTCATCATCGGTAAAAATGCTTGATTTTAAACTTGCTGTGCTGTCTTCACCGTCTGACTCTATTCTTTGTTGCTGCATTGCTCTTATCGGTGGCAGTATCTCGGAATATTCCATTTTTGCAAACGAGGCTTTTTTTCCACTCCCTTCGACGGTATGCCCCGATTTTATACTCCGTGTTATTTGTTGCTCATCACTTTTCACCTTTTTTTCGTTCTCAGCGAGTAACTTTATTTTGCTTTTTTTTACATCTTGAAAAGTTTTTTGCTGCTGTAATGCCATACTAGGATGCTTCATCAAAAAAGATCGCGCATCTCTCTTTATTGATTTGCTTATACCAACTTTGGACTCGTCTTCGCGAAATGATGGCGATGAGATCGGTACAAAGAAACGTGGCACTCTTTGACTCTCTGCTTCTTTAGTTAATTTTTTAATACGCAACAACGTTTTGATCAGTTGATAGAACGTTATGGGCGGTTTGGATAAAGTATCGTTAAATGGCAATAACGTATTGGTTACAAGTACGGTTTTCGATTTTCCATAGTTGGTGAATAAATATTCTGGATTATTTTGTTTCAAATCGTATGGAAGTAAACCAATCGGTTTTAGTTTGTACCGTTCTTCTTCCATCTGTTTACGAAGCATGCCAAATTTATGCTTGTGACGCATAAGCTTCTCTTGTTTTTCTTCGGCTATTTCCCTTTGAAATTTAAAAGATTCCAATATATGTGGCGTACAGGAACTTGCTAGCAATCGCGCTTGTTGAACATTCATCGGTTGATTTAGGAGAAAATCTTTTACAAAATAAATATCTGAGTGAACAAATATATCCTCATCGGTTAGCATTGCTTTTTCGATGATCCGCGACGAAAAATAGGTTTTCATCTGAGATGGCTGAAAGGATATTTTTGATGCTTTGTTTAAAACGCTTCCAATATCTCCAAATTCGAGTGTATCTCTGCCTAAGGATTCTGTTAGGCTTCTCTTAAAGCTATCCATGCTTTTATAATGAGCATGCCATGATTTTTCCTCTCGAATTATTTCTTCCTCTTCAAATTTTTCGTAATGACAAGCGATTGGCTCATCCCAATAACAAAGATATTCAGGCAAATGAAATACCATTACAAAAAAAGGATTTTCTGCCTCGATTTCTTCCTTTAGCATTTCTTTTTTCGGATCAATACTCGACAAACGAATTGAATGATCGCGATGATATTGACGTGATTTAAAAGTAGAAAAATAATCATCTTTTTCGATAAGCAATTGTTTACCTGGATTATGCCAAATCATATTGATATTGCCCTTATCAATATGCGTTTGCATTGGTTTCTTTACAAAATTCAATTTATATATACCACCTAATATAGTAAATTTTTTCAAATTTATCTAAATATTTAATGATACAAAGAAATCTTAAATCGCATTAACCAAATAATATTTCAAAGGTCAAGGTTACCTCATCGATACTCAAGTTTAATGTTTCAGGATGATATACGATATCTAAATATTGTTGGAATTGTTTGTGTTCCTCGTCAAAGAAATCGTCCGTGATATCTGGATATTCATCAGACTCAATAGTTTGTGGTATAAGTTGACCTTTGCGCAATCGTTTTAATTGAATTTTTTCCAAATATGCCTGATATCTATCTTGCATTGTCTCCCTTATATTTTTTTGCATATGCGTTTGCATTCTAAATTCATTTAGCAAACACTCGCGTAAATCTTAAATTAAAGCAAGAGAAATTTTCGATTCAAATACTTGACTTATTATCCTATTATTGTTCTCTCTATAAAATCGCTTAAGCTTCGAAATCGTGAATTTTACCAAGAAAGTATTCACATTGAAATCAATGCTTTAATGTCTTTTTTCCCATTTATCAATCATTCGTTCATTCTCTTTTTATACGCATGTATTGTCGTTGTTGTTGTTGTTGTTGTGCGTTTCTTTAAATTTCATTTCGCTAAATTCTTTTTTCCTTTATTTTTCTTCCTTTTAAAAGGCTTGAGGCAATTAACTCAAATATTTGCAAAGCAATTTTTTTATAAAACAAAAAAAAAAGAAAAAAAAAAAAAATTTAGTAAATTCATCTAACCTTGTATGCCGAAATTTAGATTTCCCATTTCGGTGATAAATTTAAAACTCTTCGCATTTTCACTTAAATGATCGAAATTTGTATGAATTGCTTGTAGGGTCATATTACGTTCCAATATTCCAAATGGTATATGCAATAGCAGTTTTATTTCATATAAATCAACCAATATTCGTGGTTCCCTAAAAAATAGAAATTGAAAAGAACGTAACTAAGCATTGAGTTCTTTCCTTTCTAATTTGAACAAACTTACTCTAGAAATTCAAAACTTATGGGAACATTTTTAAGACCCCATATATGAATATCACAATTATCACATGATAGAGAATATTCACAACTTATCGCATCCACTGACCTTATTAAAGAGAACAAGAAGGAAATGCCTTTAAATAAAAAAGATAACTAAGAAAATTATTACAAGTCCTCTTAAGTTGATTACTGGCCACTACAACTACACAAGTCCAAAACTAATTAAAATAAATAAGTTAATTAAATTAGCTAAGTTTATGGATTCTTTTTGGACGATAGGAAGGTAGCAAATATACGCGATAAACATTCGAAGGTTCATAAATTTTGGATTTGTTTTAAAAATTTTTTAGCCCTTGTAAACACTGAATCGCTAATATTCGATTTTCGGATTTTACTACTACTGTGTGCCTTAAAAAAAAAAAAATAAAATAAATTGGAAATGTAATGCAAATACCCGGACCGATTTGACCAAACTAATCGGTTGCCACCATATTTGGAAAGCTAAACTTGATTTTGCTCTTCCTATTCTTCAATCGTAAATTCAAAAATCGGTTTTGTCACTTAACTCACTTCATAAGAATTTCTGGAGCATTTAATATTCGATAAGTCTGACGATCAATATAATCCATTATTTCATTGGCAATAGTCTTTTTCATATCTCGTATTTCGTATATTAATTTCTTTGATGCCTTAGCTGTTTCACGATCGTTCGCCAAATACAGTTCAATTCGCCGCATAATTTCTAATGAATCTCCAATAAATTTGGATAATTCTTGTTTGAAAGGCGGTCTCTTATTCATCGCTCGATGTATTGCTTCCCTCGTCACGAAATCCTGACTAAGCAAATACCGTTTATCGGGTAATAAAGAGTGACAAATATCATCTTGAATATTGCAAACTTCTAAATATTTCGCCTTAGTATAGAATTCTACAATATCCGCTAATTTATAGGGTTTCGGATATGGAACGCTATCGATATATTCATGCCATTCATCCACAAGCGATTGTAAATCATCGATTAACTCTTTCTCCTTGAAGGCATCTTGAAGCGATAAAGCGGAACGGATATGCCGTTAATATTGAAAGAAATGAAAAATGAATTTTTAAAATTAATAAATAAATTTACCATCAATGAAGCCGAGACAAACTCTCAATTCAAGCAACCGTTGTGCATATTTGAGTTCTTGTGCTTTAATATCAACTAATTTAATTAATGAATATTCCCTGAGAGGAATCTCTGGCGGTGATGGTTTTAATGTTTTTACCGGCCGAATTTTTTTCATGCTTTTCCTATTTCCTCGGTTTTCTTTCCTGGTTTTTTTTTTTTTTTTTGGTTTATTTAAAAGAGATCACAATATTACAAAAAACAAAAAAAAGTTTAACAAAACAAAAAAGTAAAACGTAACACAACACCTCTGCTGTTCAAAAATTATTAAATTATTTTTAAATAAAAATTCAAATAGAAAAAGCAAAAAAAAAAAACAAATTTATAAACTTTGACAGAAAATACTCATCATGGCATACTACTTACTGCTTATAAAGCAATCATTAGGTGTTAAACTGGATTTTTTTATTTTTTTTTTAAAAGCTACCTGCAGTTGACAGAAAATAGGCACCAAAAAAAATAACGCTTTGAGTCATTTCCGTTCACGCTATTTGCCCGTCTACTTTCCTTTCGTTTCTCTCTCTCTCTCTCTCTCTCTCTCTCTCGCTCTCTCGCTCTCTCTCTCTCTCTCTCTCTTTCTATGAAGATATATTCTAAGTGTGTAAATTTAAAATTGACTTTTTAGTACATATATATATATATATATATAAATATATATATACATATGAGATAAAGCATTTACAGTTTTCAATGCCATTTCCTTTGCTAAATTGCAGGAAAGATTACAAATGATGACAACAATGTTGTATCAAAAGTACCAGATTGAAAAGTTCTTAAAGAATGGATCCGAAATTGAAAACTTTTTTAGCAGTTTAGTGTAGCGGTGCATCGTCAAAAAACCATGTGTATTCATGTTCTCGAAACTATAAATTCCGTCCCTTTTCTTCGACAATGAATTATTAGTTATCCTTAGGCGTTCGCTATGCGAACACACTTTTAAAATAGAAAAGCGCTTTCCTCTGTTCATCTGTTATTTAAATTAAATGTTAGAGAATAAAGACCGATAGAATTTGATTATTTATTCTGGAACGGACACCCAGAGGGACTTAAAGTCGATTCACTATTTATAATATCTACAAAGTTTGTCTGTCCTTCCGATATCTCTCAATGCATACATGTGTTGCATTTCTTCGAGATATTTTGATGGAGTTTAGTAGGCCAAGGATGAATGCTATTGAAAATGATTCAAATCCGAGCACTTTTTCAATCATACCCCTTATAACGCATTAACGCGATAATTGTATTAAGTGAGCTGGTGGAATGTAGTTATATTCTTATGTTTGTTATCGTAATATATATTTCAATTAAAGAAAACAAATTTATAGAACTAAAATAGGATAAGCACTAACATCTAAGACTATCTCTAGCTCTATTCTTCGGCTAGTTAGTCTAGTCGCTTTAATAAAACTAAATTTTCTACTAATATTATGTTGTTCAAGAACTTTCAAGGTGACCATAGGGTCAACCGCTTCGAATATTGAAAGCGTGGTGGCATTCATAAAGTGTGTATATAATCGTAAGGTTACACCGACCCAAGGACGATTGGATTAGACCAATTTTTTGCCTAGTTCAAACTATTTAGAAAAGTTGTTGTCTGAAACTGTGTTAGCCAAAGTAGAATAACGTATTTAATGATGAGCTTTACTTGATTTACATCTAGTTTTCGTTATTAGTTTTTATAATTTTTTTTTTTTTTTTTTTTTTTTTGCAAACGCCGTTGTTTGGAACTTACAGAGTCCTTGAGACAGACATAATTTAATTGATTGAATTTAATTATTTTATGGCCGATTGCCGTACAGTAAGAAGCAAATGAAAAAACAGAGTTTTATTTCCTGCCATTGGCTGTAAAAGTGTATTAAAAATCACGGCAGCGGTTCGCGCCAAATTTTCAATGGTATTATTGTGTGAATGCGCAAGCATGCATGCATAAGTACGTAAAAAACAAACAAACAACCGAAAAGTTTGATTTTAAAAATATACATTCAAAATATATATTAAACTAAATCGAAGAGAGAGAGAGAGAGAGAGAGAGAGCGGCAGACATGCGTGTTACCAAATTTTGATATAAATAAATATAACAGAAGTAATTGAGAAATGAAAATAGTAAGCGAATTATGCAAAAAAAAAAAAAAAAAAAATAAAAAACGAAATAAAGAAAAAAAAAAATTAAAAGGTTTAAAGACATTTTATGCGTTATCTCTATATATAAAAAATTTGTACGTTTTAATACGCTCTGTAGTTTATTCCGTTATGCACTCACACACTATTTCTTAGGAAAACCATTTTTTATCGCACATGTTGTTGCGATAAGATTCTCGAATCGAAATTCTTTCTTTCTCAAAAATAAAATATGCTTCTACATCATTCTCTCGATAGCAGTATATCTGTAGGTAACTGAATAAACTTAATCTTGGACATAATCCAGTTATCTTGCTGAACAGTGAATTTAAGTAGTAATAATGCACGCACACAATGATAAGAGAAAATCTAAAAGTATCATCGCTAAGGAGATCTCGGTTCGACTTTAACTAAACTCTCTTACTCAAGAAGTACTGTGCAGAGAGCAAAGTCACTTTGTACATTCACTTTTCTCTTTGGTAATATTCACAGAACTGGTTGTTTTTTTTTCACTCTTTTTTCATTTTCCATGCCTCTTAATAGAAGTGGATTATCTATGAGATAATTTTTTTTCTACTCTCACTTATGACATAGTTTTAAAAAAAATTTATAGCATGCAATATATGCAATATTTTTTAACAACTCATCTAAATTGTATGCATGAGCAGATTTTACATTTGTCACCGGAATGTGGACCATAATTCTTGAAGAGAGAATATAATGCTCTTTAATGCATTTCTAGTGAAGAAGTAGTTGCTTGCAATTAACAAAAACATTCATTTCATTTTTATTGTACCTTTTTTTGCAAAGGCATGGAGTCGTTCTACATTAACAATATATTTTCGATTTAAGGTCTACTAAGAAAACAATAAAATAACAATAACACGGAAGGCTCCCAAGTTTTTATTTTGACCATTGGTGTATAATACCTTGGAACTGTTTTTTTAACGTTTATTATCACATTCTTGGTAAGTTCGATGTGATGCGGTATGCGTTTCGTAATGTTAACTTTAGAAAACGAAAAACGCAATATTATTTAAGGGAGTTCTGTCTATCCGTCCATTTTTTTTTTTTTTTGTTTTGTTTGTTATCTTTATGGTTTCATTTTTGTTTCGCTTGCTGTAAAACGACACATTTTAAGCAATAAAGTTGTAACTAAAGTTGAGGTAAAAATTATCTTTTTTCTCACAAAAGCCTACCTACCTATCACAATTTGTATGCGCACTCTATATGAACGCATCGGGTGTATTTCGTTTACGTTGGTTAGCTTTCCATGGAGAAACCTATTAATTTTATTGCAATTTCCTTTTCATACATTTTTAATAAAAATAAATAATTACTCAGATAGACAAACTGACAGACAGGCAGCATGGGTAACCTGAAAGTGCTTAAGCAATGTCTACATCGGTTACCTCCAAACTGTAAACTAAGAAAATAAAAATAAAGAAAAAAAGAAGGAAAAAAAAAAAATGCAATTTGAAAATGAGAAAGAATTTCTGTGTGAACTTCAACACCGATAATCGTTTCTTGTCTACTGGAAAATAAGGGGAAGCATAAAAAACAACACAACAGGTAGATAATGGATATTTTTCATTTACGTGTATTTCCTTCTTGTCTATTTTGTTTATTATTTGCTTTTACTCAACTGTCACTACAGTTATTTACTTTTAGTTTTCATTTATTACACAGCTTCGCTGTTTACGTGGCTGGTCTTCACATTTGAGGGTTTTTCAGCTGCAGTTGTGGTCGTGCATCTTCGTACATTTTGCATTTCTATGATGAAAAATGGAAAATGAATGTAACTTTATTGTGCCTGTATACATAGGCATAGATGTGTGCGCTGACAAAGGCGAATATAATATAAATTTTGTTTTTTTTTTTTTTTGTAAACTTTCTTCTTCTACGAATATTCTCATTCTCATTTATTGATCATTCTCGTTTGTAGCAGCTGTTGTTGAATGTTTAAGTGCCTAACCATAAGAAAACCTTTTTAATAATCATTCGCATTTCAATAATGAATAGGAGACTGTTGGAAGATCATTTCCATTTGTAAAAGGACATTTACGAAATGTAGTTTCATATTTGTATATATATGAATGTAAATATATTTATATATATATATATATATATATATATACATATGATAAAGATTTGGCTTTGCAAAATTATTTTGTGTTAATTGCAGAAGTGGTTGGAATATGTTTACATTGATTAAATTTACATTGAAACTAACATACCACGTAGTATGTAGAGAATCAGTTATTAGTAATTTTACTTTATATAAAAGGAAAAGCATTTAGTTTGTTCTCAACTGTATGAGGTTATATAGATGGAAATGCCTTTGCTTGTCATAATGGTTTGCCGAACTTTGAGTTACAGTGTTACAGGTTAGATTTCGTTATCTCTAGAGCTAGAGGCAACCACTCTCTATATCTGAAGCTAAATTTGCTTATCATAATGGATTGCCGAATATTGACTTATAATGCTGCAGATTGTATTTCTCCACCAAGGTTGTCTCTAAAGCTAGAGTCAACTACTCTCTATCTCTGGAGCTTTCATAATAGATTACCCAACTTGGCCTTGTATTGCTGCAGGTTAGATTTCGTCCGCAATGATGTCTTTCGGGATAGAGTTAGCTAGCCGGCGTTAGATTTTAGAGTAGTAGCGAAAACTCATAGCACTATTAGATGGCAAAAGTTCAACTTATGGAAATGAATTCTATGTGCTTTAGAAACATTGTTGATAACATTTCGTAACTTAGCAGCAGCTAATAACAGATAACACTCTTCGCGTCCCAGCAAAAATGATATGTGAAGCTATTCAGCCTCTTATTGCATGCGCCCACGCCCCTATCGCTAGGTTTATCCATCAATTTTTACGGCTAAAACTTTTAAAATAGGCTACGATGCAAAAAAGACTATCTTTTGCAGCCTTCGAGCAAAGCAAAAATGCCCTTTTCGTTGTTTGAAAAAGTTTTGTTGCTTTGCGTAACGGTAGATG